GCTCCTCAAATTTTCATTAGTTACTACAAGTTTTCCATAGGAGAAACCCCTAAAAGGAAATATTATGTATACATAAGTTGATTCACGAGTTGTGCTATAAGCCTACAGTGTCTTGAAGGTTCTTGGATGGGTCCTTGAAAATTGTCATTATGTTTATATATAAAAACATAATCTTCTTTGAATAAGCCAGGCTGCTATTACCTGTCTATAGCTGTCTGACAGAACCTTACCACTAAACTCCAATGCAGCTTACATAGTCTCTTTTACTTACACAAGGGGGTCCACTTAAAGCATTTCCAATGAGTTTGGAGTATCTGTACTTCTGTAAGTCCTTCTACATCTCAGTTAAGAGTTAAGAGTATTTCTATAATGTAGACTGACTAGGAATGTCCTGGCTGATATGATCCCATGAGCAATTTCATCATTGTTGTCTTTATAGAATGTAGAACAAGTATTTTTTTCATGTGTACGTCACAGATGCACAAGTATTTGGAGAATATTATGCCTTTGAAAGGCATTTGTTGAAGAATATGGAGAAAAGCACAGATTCCCATGACTGGAGTTTGTTTTCTGTTAAAAACAGATTAGTACTGCTCTAAAAACAGTTCAAAATATAAAAGCTATCTCCATGTAACTAGAGAAGATGTAGCATGCAGGAGACTTCAAACCGGGACTGTTTGGTCTCAGGGCAAGAATGCAGCTGTGATGGAGTTTTTCAGTTTCCAAAAAGAGTCACCAAGATGTCAGACGTGGAAGAAATGATCATTCATTTAGGGCAAATTGTTGGCATAGAAACGGTATTTAAAGGTTTGTTTTTGGGAATTGCCTTAGAAGTATAAATATGTGTATTAGAAAGGTTCAAGATGGGCAGCAGGGGTTAATTGATTTCTAAAGAGCTTGGGTCTCGCACACATAGTTTCTCCCAGCCTTGGAAGCAGACAGGCTATCTAACACATACAAGGCAGATGACTGGACACAGCCTAAGAATTGAGGGGGCATGACATAACACAAGATCACAGCCTTCAAGGCAGATAGGTTGTTCAACACAACAAGGACATATAGTCTAGAAAACAGCTTGGGAACCAAGGGAGAATATACCATACTGCCCATAGCACTGCCTTCCCCCTTCCCTCCCCTCCCCCCAAACAAGGTCCCTGGGTCCTAAATCCAGATCCAACAATCACCCTTTTATATATGCTTTCCAGAATAAAAATAATTATTTTGAAATATTTGCATCCTGACATTATGTTGGTGGGTACTGATTGCAAGGTCCTGTAATATTGCCATAACAAAGTAAGTAGGAGATTGCATGATGATGTAAAGGAACAATGTCACTACACCCAAAATAAATTGATTCACTGTTCTACAAGCCTACAGTGGCTTGAAGATTCTTGGCTGGGTCCCTGAAAATTGTTACTGTGTCAAATATTGGATTGTATAGCAACTTTATTTGATCAAAACACTAAAGGTCTTATGCACCTATTGCACCAGGGAAAGATAGAGACTGAGGTATTCTTTGAAGTTCTTGACCAGGATTGTGTGGATTTTCATGAACAGAAATATGAACTAGGTACTTAATTCTGAATGATTTTCTATGAGAGGTTAGTAGCTCTCATTTCTTCCTTGGAAATTTCCCTCTGGATCTTGGAAAGACAGCCTTTCTTTAAAATTGTGAATGAGTTAGGTCTTTAAGAAACATCTGTTTATCTGATGTATTTATATGGTTCATATTACTATATCAGAGTTCTTCACAAACTTGTATGTATTAATCCTCACAGTATCCTCATGAAGAAGGAAATACTAATATCCCTATTTTATAGACAAGGAAACGAGACATAGGCTCATAGAATCATAGGATCATGGACATTTAGGGTTGAAAGGGACCTCAGGAGGTCATCTAATCCAACCCCCTGCTCAAAGCAGGACCATCCCCAACTAGATCATCCCAGCAAAGGCTTTGTATACCTGGGTCTTAAAAACTTCCAAGGATGGAGTTTCAACAACCTCTCTAGATAGCCTATTCCAATGCTTTATCACCATCCTAGTGAGAGAGATTTTCCTAATATTTAACATAAACTTCCCTTTCTGCAACTTGAGACCATTGCTCCTTGTTCTGTCATCTGCTACCACTGAGAACAGTTTAACTCCATCCTCTTTGTAGGCACCCTTCAGAAGGCTGAAGGCTGTTATTAAATCCCCCCTCAGTCTTCTCTTTTCCAGACTAAATAAGCCCAGTCCCTTCAACTTCTTCTAATAAGTCATGTTCCCTAGCCCACTAACCATTTTCACTACTCTCCTCTCTCTCCAATCTGTCAGTATCCTTTCTGTAGTGAAGGAGCCCAGATCTGGACACAGTACTCCAGGTATGGCGTTACCAGTGCCAAATAAAGGGAAATAATCACTTCCCTTGATCTGCTGGCCACAGTTCCTACAAAGTGCAGCCCAGTATGCTTTTAGCCTTCTTTGAAACAAGGGCACTGCTAATTGTCTGCTCATGTTCCACTTATTGTGCACTGTAACCTCCGGGTCCTTTTCTGCAGAGCTGCTAGCTCTGTAGAGCCAATTAGTCCCCAGCCTGTACCAGTTCATGAGATTGTTCCATCCTAAGTGTAGGATTTTGCATTTGTCCTTACTGAACTTAATGAGATTCTTTTGATTCAATCCTCCAATTTATCAAGGTCTCTGAATCCTAGCCTTACCCTCCAATGTATCTACTACTGCCCTCAGGGTGGTGTCATTTGAAAAATTGCTGAAAGTGCACTCCATCCCATCATCCAGATCACTGATAAAGAAATTGAGTTCCCTGAGTGAATCAAAGTCTGCTTTTATGGAATCCAGGGTCCTTACTCTGCTTTTCTTCTTCCCTCCTTTCCTCAGGATCCTGAACTCAACTATCTTTCATGGTTGCTGCTGCCCAAGTTGCCATCCACTTCTACACTCCCCACAAATTCTTCCCTGTTTGTGAGTAGCAGGCCAAGAAGAGCACAGCCCCTAGTTAGCCTCTCCAACACTTGCCCCAGGAAATAGCCCCCAGTACTCTCCAAAAACTTTCTGGGTTGTCTGTACATTGCTGCATTGCCCTCCCAGCAGATGTCAGGGTGACTGAAGTCCCCCATGAAAGCCAGGGCCTGTGATACAGAAACTTCTGATAATTGTTTGAAGAAAGTCCCATCCACCTTATCCTCCTAGTCTGGTGGTCTGCAGCAGGCACCCGTCATGTCATCACTCTTATTACTTTCCCCCCAGACCCTAACCCAGAGACTTTCAACAGGCCTATCTCCAGTTTCATAGTGTAACTCTGAACAACCATACACCTCTTTTATATAAAGAGAAACTCCTTCTCCCTTGCCTGTGCTTCCTGAACAGTTTATACCCATCCATGAGAGTGCTGGGGGGTCAGGAAGGACTTTTACCCTGTTGTCAGATTGGTATGAACTGTGGGAGTTTTTGCTTTCCTCTAAAACAGGGGGCATGGCCCTCTGCCCAGGACCTCTTGAGCATATATTAACATTTTATAGAAGCAGGACTTCGGCTGCTGTGGTTTTCCTGGTTTACTGCTGGCAGATTAGGTTGTTAAATCTTATGTTGTGTCAGGGTTGAGGCTAATCTTATGTAGAGTTCAGATTATGGTTTGTATTGTGTGGTTTGCATAGGGAAGATCCTGCCTTAGAGAGGGGGGTTGGACTAGCAGGTCCCTTCTAGGCCTACTTTTCTATGATTCCATATCAACTATCCCACCAAGTGTCTGTTATTCCAATCATATCATCATTCAGTGACTGTGCAAAGATTTCCAATTCTTCCTACTTGTTTGTCAGGCTCTGTGTATTCACGTACAGACACCTGAGGTAACTAGCTCATTGCCCTACTTTTTCAGGAGGAATGAGAAGGCGCCCCTGTTGCCCACTCCTGGTTGTGTTTCCTCCAGGTCACCCACTTTTCTACTTACCTTAGGTTTTTTGTCTCCATTCCTTGGTGAAACTAGTTTAAAGCTCTCCTCACTAGGTTAGCAAGCCTGTCTACAAAGACGCTCTTCCCTTTCCTCATCAGGTAAATCCCATTTCTTCCTAGCAATCCATCTTCTTGGAACAAGCTCCCCTGGTTGATGAATCTAAAGCCCTTCTGAGCAACACCATTTGCGCAGCCATGTACTGATTTTCAGGATGTGTCCACTCCTTTCCAGGCCCTTCTTCTTGACCAGAAGGATCAAGAAGAACATTGTCTGAATCCCTGTCCCCCTCACACAAGTAACCAGAGCCCTGTAGTCCATTTTAGAAGAGAAATTCTTTGAATGGATTGTCCCTCTAGCCAAAGATCCTTTTTAATGTTCACTCTTCTTTAAGAGAGTGATACTGAGCATGTTCTGTGTGATGCTGAGTGGCAACAACTTTTATGTAAATCAGAGGCTGATGTAGATTGCAGAAAGCCCTGTACCCCAGGTGGGTGCTCAGGCCACGAGGCTATGAACCCTCTATTATTCTGTTTAACATACAACAGTGATGATGGGAGAAAACCAAGTCTTGGTGTCAAACTAAGGTTTATGCTGGCTTCTGTCAGCATTCTTCCTGACCTGGATCCCTGTGGTGAAAATAAATCTGATGTACTTAGTTTAGGGCAATTAAATAGGTAAGTCGTATCACATGGTGGCCTTTCAGTCTATGTAGGGTTTGGGGCAGGAAGGAGATTAAATTTCTAATCCTTCAATTTTATCAGAACAAAATAGGAAAATTATCTCCATCAACTATTCCATTTCTGGGCCCTCTCAGAGTTTACAAAGTCCCCAGAACCCATCAGTGGAAAATTGGCATCTTTGCCACCCATGCTTATACATCTGTTACTCTGTTTCTTTTGCAATCTCTAACCACTGTTACAAATCTGGAATGAGCATGCACCTAGACAGAAACAGTAAGAAAAATGACTTACCAACTCCTGACTGTTACTTGGAAACTTTTGCACATGTAACCAGAGAGGATGTTAAAAATGATCGTGGGTTTGTTTTACAGATTTCAAAAGTGAAGAAAGAAATTGGGTCACCACCAAGAGAAGAAAAACAACCTAGGAGGAAAAGACCACCTAGTACTGATGAGGGGCCAGACACCTGCCTTTAATTGAGTGCCTAAAGAAAACAGCATAAGCATGCCCTTTAATTTGTAATGAGTACTGACTTGCCTTGACATAAGCTGTGTACACAGCCACGTGTGTTGTTAGCTGAATGTCATAATGTCATTCTTATTTGATACCTTCATGCCAGAGTGGGTTAACATGTACATGGAACTTAAGCAACACTAAAATGAGAAAAAAGTGTTGGAGCTACACAACAAAAAAGTATGGGCAAGGGCCTGAATGAATGCATTGCACTAAGTTCTTTTAGTTACCTTTGACACCTAACTAGCTGCTCCCTCATCCTTCTCAATAGTCTTGAAAAATGATACAGACTAGGCCTGTGCAAAGCTGTGAGTATTCGCTTTGGATTTGGGTTTGGCCGATTAAGGGGACAGTTATTCAATTTGGTGATTTGAATAACTGTCCCGAATCAATTCGGCCAAATCTGATTCATAGATTCAACTGCTTCCAAATCTCTGAATCACACAGACCCATCCCCTGCCCACTCTCCCAGCCCAGCAATGGCTGCCCCACCCACCCCAGGTCCCAGTGCTTTAAGAAAAAAAGGCCCAACTCACTGGGTGCTGCCCAGTGAGGGAGGCGATCCTCACTTCT